CTTATAAATGTTTTAGTGGACTTCAAATTAGTGTAAACTAATTTAATAAAAGCTAATCAGCTTGCTAAAGGTTTCCAAAGTTCGTAAAAATTTAATCTGTTAAACAAAAAACAAGTTCCACTATTAGCGATTTAGCAGAACTGAGCCCACCACTGGAAATAAATATCTAAAAGTAATTGTACATGAAGTCATTGAACTATACTTCAATAAATCAGACATAATTTTATATTTTACTGCCTGCTACTGAATGCACATATTTCTGTTAGCAAAATATCTCATGAACCACTGAAAAGATTTTGATAAAACTCTCAGAACCTAATCAGTGGATGTACACCTACAACTGATTCACTTTTAGAGACAGTCCAATTCATGATGGCCGCCTCAGCAATTCATTTTATAAAACCCAAACATGACTCAACTTGACAGATATTGAAMTAACATTTGGTGTGGTGGAAGCTGAGAGTTGTTCACAACACATAGTGTAAGTGCTACAACATTGCACAGGACTGTTGCCTAAAACGTTGGCACTACCTGTTGGATTCAACACTGTCTTTTAGCAAAATATCTCTTGAACAGATGGACAGATTTTAATGAAACTCTCAGAAAGTAATCAGTGGATGTACATCCWCAACTGCTTAACGTAACTCAGTTCAAGATGAGCACCACAGATAATCAATCTTAGCMAATATAAAAAAATAGCTGCAACTTAAATTTTGAGACATTGACAGAATCTGACGTGTTTAGAGAAATTCTACGACTGCTAATGCATCTCACTAAATTGCATGACATTGCTATGCTATGGCATTTAGATGCAAAGCAGAAGAACTGTCATTTTTCAAAAATAAATTATCTTAGTTGAAAACTTTCATGAAAGGTGGCAGRTGACATGCATTGCTGGGCCTGTAGAGTGTAGAGGGCAGAAACTGACACTTTTTTCAAAATTAAAATTAAGATGTTTTTCACCTAAATAAACCAATCAAGACGGTGATATTTTTAACGCAGAAATAGGTAAAGAAAGATTTTGTTGAACGTTTGATTGAAGTACAATTATCACCAGTTTTTAAATTTCTTAAACCCCCGGATTGAAAAAATCTGAATGAASTGAGCTGAGGAGAGCTCAGGGTGACAACATGTCACAGTGAGTCACAGAGAAGCACGTGTTGGACTGTAGCTGCTAACACTTCATTACCTCAGTGAGGCTCATGTTGCACAGACTGAACCACATCAGAGAGCAAATATAGAAGCTAACCTCGGAGCACAGACGTCACTTTCTGAGCTGCTCAGAGCTGAAGTTTGTGTCTAACTTGGACTAATCTGTCTTTAAACAGCAGCTTCACTCTAATGTGGAAACAGCTACAGTTAGTTTAATATGTATTATAAATAATTTAATCAGTTTCTGTTCGTCTACAAATTTGCTTCAAAGTCATGTTTTTAATTTAACACACACTAGAGCTACAATTATCTAATCAAAAGCAAAACTTAACAACTAAACAATAGAAACAAGCTAAAACCACAGCAACTATAGCAAAAGGCTAAAACTGGCTGAAACACAAATAAAAAATTAATTCAGGCAAACTCATGACAACAGGTAGCTAAAACTGTCAAATCAGCAGAACAGCAGCTAACAGCTAAAATCAGCAAATCCATGACAAAAAACAAGCAAAACAGTAGCTAAAAATGTCAAATCTGCAGAACAGTAGTTAAAGCTAAATCCAGCAAACCCATGGCAAAAACAAGCAGAACAGTAGCTAAAAGCTAAAACCAGCAAACCCATGGCAAAACAAGCAGAACAGTAGCTAAAAGCTAAAACCAGCAAACCAGTGACAAAAACCAGCAGAACAGAAGTTAAAAGCTAAATCCAGAAAACCCATGATAAAAACTAGCAGAATGGTAGCTAAAGGCTAAAACCAGCAAACCCATGACCAAATCCAGCAAAACTGTAGCTAAAAATATCAAATCTGCAGAACAGTAGCTAAAAGCTAAAACCATCAAACCTATGACAAAAATCAGCAGAACAGTAGCTAAAGCTAAAACCGGAAATCCCATGACAAAATCCAGCAAAATGGTAGCTAAAGGCTAAAACTAGTAAACCCATGACAAAAACCAGCAGAACAGTAGCTAAAAGCTAAAATCAGCAAATCCATGACAAAAAAACAAGCAATAAACAGCAGCTAAAAATATCAAATCTGCAGAACAGTAGTTAAAGCTAAATGCAGAAAACCATGACAAAAACCAGCAGAACAGTAGCTAAAAGCTAAAACCAGCAAACCCATGACCAAATCCAGCAAAATTGTAGCTAAAAATGTCAAATCTGCAGAACAGTAGCTAAAAGCTAAAACCATCAAACCTATGACAAAAATCAGCAGAACAGTAGCTAAAGGCTAAACCAGCAAAGCCATGACAAAAACCAGCAGAACAGTAGCTAAAAGCTAAAACCAGCAAACCCATGACAAAAACCAGCAGAACAGTAGCTAAAAGCTAAAACCAGCAGACCCATGACAAAATCCAGAAAAATGGTAGCTAAAAATGTCAAATCAACAAAACAGTAGCTTAGTGCAAAAACCTTGCTGAAACTTAAAACCAGCAAAATGGTAGTGAAAAGCTAAAACTAGCAAAACAACAGGTAAAGGGTAAAACCATAGCCAAAAGACTAAATACTAAAAATAATGTAAAAACAGCAAAATGGTCACAAACAATCAAACCCAGCAGAACAACAGCAAAAAATAAAATAAAATAAAATAAAATAAACAGTAAATAGAAGGCAAAATTAACAAAGCAGCATCTAAAAGCTAAAACCAACAAAACAATAACTTAAACAAGCAAGACTGCATCTAAAACATAATTATCAGAAAGATGGCTAAATCTAAAACTAGCAGAAAAGTAGCTAAAACTAATTAAAATACAAAAATGAAGCAGGTTAACTAAAGGATTTAGAGCAAAGTTTCTCAAGGATTTGAAGAGCTCAGAGTAGAAGAAATATAAATAAAAATAAATAATTCAGAATGTATAAAAACTAAAGGTCATGGTGTCTTGAATACCTGAATGGCTGAAATTAAAAAATGTTCAGAAGAAAATATAAACAGGGAAACAACAGTGTGAAAGCTGAGTCAGCATAAATTTGTTTAGAATTTTTTTTACCAGCCAGTAAAACAAAAGGASCTGGGATTAGGTCTGTTTGGACACCTTTAGGATTACAGGCAGATTATTTAGTGAGTTTTGCACTGAAAAGTTTGGGAACCTATGATCTACTAAAACAATTAAATCCTCACTGTTTGTATCTCCAGGAAGTATAAAAACGTGTTGGGGGGTCCCGGGTGACCCCCTCTCAGCCCTTGCTTTGTCTTACCGCCTCTGTCCGCGGAGGTGTCCGCAGGAGGTCACGCCACGTTCGGGGAGCTCCGGACGGTCTTGTGGCCGGGCATCTGCACCACGAGCAGCTGCTGCTTCTGCCGGGTGGACTTGACGGCCAGGATGGCCTGCCGGTTCTTGTACTGGACCATCTGCAGGGTGATCTCCGCGTTCCAGCCCTCGTCCTGCGGGCACCTGAAGTCGATCTCCTTCCCCTCCGTCATCACCACGGTGAAGTAGACGTACTTGCCCTTCCGCTCCACGCAGTCCACGGTCTTCATGTTGGCGAAGTGCAGCTCCTTGACTTTGCCCGTGTCTCCTCCGCCTCCTCCTCCGCCGCCGCCACGCTGCTGCTGCTGCTGCGGGTGGTCGTGCTGCTTGGGCGGCAGCAGCAGCACGCCGTCCTCCGTCAGGACGCAGTGCTTCTTCTTCCACAGCTGCAGCAGCCCGTCGCTCCGCTTCTCCAGCAGACCCTCCTTCAACACCTTCCTCCCGTTTTCCAGCATGTTCGGCCCGGTCGCCTCGGGACTCGCAGCCGGCTGAGCGCTTCGCTGAGCGGACTGATGTGTGGTGTGTCCTGGGGGGTCAGGACATGAGCTGGTTCTGTGGATTAATGTCTGACAGACGGCAGCTCGGCTCGCTGCTGGTCAGTGTTTGAAGGGGCTTTGTGAGGCGGGAGGGGTCTGAGAGAGAGCACCGCCCCCCCAACACAACCCTCACAGATGACACCATCTTCTTCATACACCCAGAGAACTGGGGGTACTTTTAAATACACTAGTAYTCTTTACTTTATACTTTAGATTTATGTTTCTGTACAAATGTTTGAACCTAATTATGGAAATTATGATTTGTTTTTCTTTCGCAAAACTTCTGCAGCAAAGTGTTCAAGTTCAGATAGATGCTATAACTTCTGCTTTTTTAATTTTGTACTTCTCAAACTATTTGCAAATATTTCCATTTTATAGAAAAACATTGAGATYGCTTCAATTCATTAAAAAATTGTTTAATATTCTTTTGCCATTTTAAAATGTTAGCTATTTTTGAATTAGGCTTCAGCTACTGTTAGCCTTATACTGCGTTTAGTTTTTAACTAGCGTTTGTAATTTGAGCTTTTTGTCATCCTTTCTAACTTACGTCATTTTATTATTTGCTATATTTTTATTTACACTCTTACAAATAGCCTTTAGTTACCATTTCATCATAATTAGCTTTAGCTAGTATTTAGCCTGCCTTTAGCATACCTATTACTGCATCTAGCTTTTAAGTAACATTTTGCAGTTTTTTTTTTAGCTTYTAGTTAGTTCTTAAATGCAATTTCATTGTGCAATAATACTTCAGCTTCTATGATTTTACCACTTTGTTACCTTTTGGTGTTTTTATTCACACTTTTACTGCAAATAGCCTTTAGATACCCTTTTGCTACCTTTTAGGGCTGTGTATTGGCAAGAATTTGGCGATACGATACATATCAAGACAGAGGGGTCACGATAYRATATATCCCGATATATTGCGATACTRTAAGCAAGGCGATATATTGCAATTTTTTGGTCCAAAAACTCTGTTAAATAAGAACCTCTTACTGGGAAAAAAATGAAAAACCAAAATTCATTGTCTCAGAAAATTCTAATATTACATAGACATACTTTTGATACATTTAGCTGTGTTCTGCTTTGTATGTGTTTTATTTGTTTCATATTTCATCCATGTTTTCAATCATTAGACTAAATTTGCCAATAAATAGTTTGAAAATATATATTTTGCAGCTTTTAGTTTTTAATATTAATTTACAATATGGTCACCCAACACTTAACAATAGCCTCTACCTCAAGAGGTAGAGGAGCCATTTGGCTGGCTCACTGCTGCCAACTAGCCGTTCATTTTTATGTTGTAGTTCAGCCTCTGACCGCTAGTTGGCAGCAGTATCGGGAAATGAAATATCGCGATATTTCAATGTATCGAAATTTTCTTACACCCCTACTACTTTTAGCTAGTATTTAGCCACTTTTAGTCTGTCATTTATCCATTTTTACCCTGCAAAAAATGTCCACCTAACCAAGTTTTAAAATCTTATATCCAGCCAAAAAAATCTTTTTGATCTTGTTTTGGGACTGATTTACTAAACAAGAACTGATTGTATAAGAATAATAATCTTGTTTTCAGAATGTGTAAGATTATTTGACTTGTTAGCCTAAAAATGTGACTCAAATTAAGTCAAAATATCTGCCAGTGGAGTAAGAAAATTTTACTTGGTAAGACTTTTTGATATACTTGATTCGACAAATTTTTTTCTTATTTCAAGAATCTTACCAAGTAAAATTTTCTTACTCCACTGGCAGAAATTTTTGACTTAATTTGAGTCAAATTTTCAGGCTTACAAGATAAATAATCTTACACGTTCTGAAAACAAGATTATTATTCTTACACAATCAGTTCTTGTTTAGTAAATCAGTCTCAAAACAAGATCAAAAAGACTTTTTGGTTGGATATAAGATTTTAAAACTTGGTAAGATGGACAGTTTTTGCAGTGCCTTTAGTCAGCCCTTTGATACTTTAGCTTGTAGCTGCCATGTTAGCTTTTTGATACTTTTAGCTAGTGTTTTGCTAGTTTACGCGTTTTGATACTTTCTGAAAGCCTTTTACTGTTTTCATCATCATCTTCCTCTTGTTTTCCTGGGGGAAGGATCTTGATTTGATTAAGCTTTATTGATTTCTTGGGATGATTTCTTGCATCCACCATCTTTACCTGCTCCTTTCCTTTCATGGGGGTCACTGGAGCCCATATCCAACAGTGACTGTGCGAGGGGCAGCGGTACACTCTGGACAGGTCGCAAGTACATCACAGGGACCCTTGGGAAGATTATAAACGATCAGGGAGGCCCAAACAAACCTCAAAGGTTTTCACACATGCCTCCTTCAGCTGTTCTGAGACGAATCCCAACASACACAGTCTATTGACTATTTTTTGTTAATAATTCAGTTTCAGCTTCTTAAGCAGTCATCCAGCTCTTACACTTCATTTCACAGGAAATGCTATTTTAATGTTTGTTATTTTTTTCCTGTAGTATGAATGTGGAGCAATGGATGTTTGAGGAACTCTGATTAGATATTCATGTAGAGGCTAGAAAGGCAGATTCATGTTCCTCTGATTGCACTTACTTAAACATTATGAAAAATTAGGTTTATGGAGGTTGTAGCCAACCTCCCCAGATGTGGACGCAAGAAGAAATGCAACCCCAAGTTAATCATAGAAAGAGGCCAGAAAACCATTCAGGCTCATAGAAGACCCAGAGGAGCTCCTGTTTGCAGAAAATCTATGCTGACAAACCTTTGCATTTCTGGGACTGTCACATCAAACAGGATTTGTTTATGGTTGAATATCAAATTTATAACATTGGTATTTATTTTGTAATTAATCTACTGCTTGTGTATGAATACATTATGTGTAAAATCATAGTCAAGTCTTTTACAGGTTTAATTCTTAACCTTTGTTGATGCGTTCACTAGTTTTAAACATTAGCTGCAGGTGGTCTATTTCAGGCTATACGATTAGGAAAACTGACAGCCAAGAACATTAAAGTCCAGACAATTTAAACTGAAAAGCGTTATAAATTTAACATTTTATTATGTCTATTTGCTCTCAATCATTTGTCTACATTAATTGCAACCATTTTAATTTGTTTATTGGACAACTCAAGTCATTGGACTGTTTTAAATGTTGGACTACAGCGCCCTCTGCTGGCATGTGAAAGCAGTGAGAAACTAAAGTTCTGATTTGTTATATACCATGTTTTTGTAGTTGTACAATTTATAAATACTAAACTGAAATTTGCCTTACTGAAATAATTACTTTTTGTTATATTTTATCGTTTTGGATAAGGGTGGGAATAAAAGGTTTTACTTCATCCCATTTCCACTCAAAATGTTAATTTTTTTATATACACATTTGAAATACACCAATATACATTGTAAAAAAAAAAAAAAAACTACATTTGAGCAACTTTTTGAAATATTCATATTTTTTAAAATACAATGGATAACAGAATCTGAAAATATTGCCTTTTTATGTTCTGATTTTATTCCCTCGTTCTTATCCAGACCTGGAAAATAAGACAGCGTAGTACCTCAGTATCCCCACCAAAAAAAAAAAAAAAAAACAACTGATGAATTATGATTAACCAATTTATTGAATAACATACACTTACAAGTATTGAGTACATTAGTATTTTTGTAGCATAGCATTTTTATCTTGACAACAGCTGTTCAGTGACCCAACAAAACCTTTATTTTCCTCCAATAAACATGATTTAATCACTCCCTGCAGATTAAGAGGTACCGTGGCTCTGACAGCGACACGACCAGCACCGTTGTTCCCACGACTAACTCATTCTGCATGAACTGCTAGTGTGGCGGGACAAGTCTTCCCTTTCCTTCCCTGGCTTTAAATATTGCTTTGACGTGCTTTCCTGTGGCATTCTGGGTAGAGGGTAGAGAGATGGGAAGGGGAGGTGGGTCACTGGCCTAAACAATGCCCGTATAAGATGACCCATTCTTTCACAGTGATTTAAATATACAAGACCCCAAAAGCTAGCCTGCAGTCTGGAAGTGGCAAAACCCGACAAAGTATTGACAAAAGAAGGGTGTTGGGACTACGTAAATCTGATGCTTTCTTTGTGCTACATGTACGAAACATTCCTTTAAAGCTTCTGAAGCAAGCCTCATTCAGTAAAGAAGGGTAATGCAGGACTAAAACTCTCTAAAGCGCTGTTGAACCATCACCCTGTAGATGTTGAAGTACTGTATACAAGGAATACTTCACAAACTGATGACGGTACACCACTTGTACACCAGACACCAGCAGAGCTCAACAAACAGGAAAACAGCAACTCCACCTACAAGGATCTTTAACCAGGGTGATCCTAGGACTGGGCACCCCCTCCAAATGGTCTCAMACCCTTTGTCGTTGACAGAATCTTCTGGAATGTTTGAGAGAAGCCGAGCTTCCCTTTTTAAAAACCATTGTCCAGTTGAAGAGTGGCAGACTCAGAGGGTCACCAATGGATGTCCCTGCCAGTCTGCATACTGGAATGTATCAAGTACAATACAGGAGGGACAAGCACACCAATCCTAGCTCCCACATTCAGACGCATCAGAACCTGAGCTGCAGGTTCTTCATTTCCAGGGTTCAAAAATGCTACAGTGCTTGTTAAAGTGCCGAAGGCCAGAAAGGGGGCATGGGGGTGTCGACGAAAACAGGCCAACCTACACTTTGATAAAGTGAATGAAGGGTGTGGAGTGGTCAAGTGAACTGATGCCAGTGTTGCAGCCCACAACACAGCTGTTGTCTAAGAGCAAATACATCAAAAACTTCACAAAAACCCAAACTAGTTTAGCAGTGAAGAAACAATGTCATGCTTTTTGAGAGGAGGTATTTTTTCTGACGTCTATTGTACAGAGAAGGAAGAAAACAGGTCTAATAAAATACTATGTACTGCGAGCCAAACAGCTCTCGGTATATTACCATTGTTTTTGTAACAAAAATCTGGAAACTTTTTCTTCAAATTCCCTACCAAGAAAAATACAAAACATTATAAGGCGAGAACTATTTTTTCTTTTTTTTTTTCCTTTTAATTTGAGAAGCAGTTACAGTGCAGTTGATCCTCAGGGCAGCCGGAGAGGCTTCACTGTTGCCTGCACTCAGCTGGGGGGGCTGCATCCTTCTGTAACAAAACACAACAGGGTGGAAGGTCAAGTCCAGGATCATTTCACACACACTGCGACAATAAACAAAAACTGCACACAACCATAGTCACTTCAAGACTCAACATTCAACAAACAGCTACAGACTGGTAGCGCCACTATATCTTTCAGGACTGAAGCACAAAAATGACTTCTGCACATGGTGACCATTGTCCATCTTTGACTAATATGGACTGTGTGCTGCTTTTGGGCTACAGCCAGTTTGAACCCTTACTAAAAGGCATTTATATTGTTTATAATACTCTACAGTAGCTGTTAAGTAGATAAGTGTAATTGTGAGGATAACTAGTTCTTAGAAGTTAAAAAAAGCAGTTTGTAAAAAATCAGATTGCAATACTGCAGTTGAGAAAAAAAAATCTTATTCGGGCTGACATGTTTTGATATAACACTTTGTTTTAATGTAGGAATACTGTATTTTTTAAAACAATGAACTTTTGCGTCGAGTATGACTGAGGGTTGCGCTGGACGGTGTGGCTAAAATGTCACGATTTAACTCCTAATTTCAGTTGATAAGATATAATTTCTGTATGAATAATTAAAATGTAAGAAACACTGCAGAGAACACCAATATTTACTGTACCTACAAACCTGATGTCATACAAGACCTCTATTTGGAATGATGTATGTTTCAGACAGTAATTTATTACAAATATAAATTGGAGCCTTCATWCAACTTAATGGTAAATCAGAATATCATTAGAAGTAGATATTTTACCTAGACAAAATGTAATTTGATATCTTARTCAACTAATGTCTRGTCATRAACCAATTTTAGATATCTGGAATGCAAGTGTGGTGAAGCCAATTTAATTGCGTAACAGCTTTCCATAACTATCTGCATTTTGCAGCGTCTGTTTCAATTCACTTTGCGCGACACAGATGCCGACAGTGATATTTTAGGAGGAGGGTTTAAACTTTTAGTGGGCTTCATTTTCATACACTCAGAATGTGGTTGGATGTGTTCTGACTGCAAGTCGACACCAGACACTCTGGCACATTTTACAGCAGACGGAGCTAAAGTTTATCAGACCGTCCACACCTGAACCACTTCAGACTGAATTATGGTAGYCTTTTCTTTCTTAACTATTTCTTCTGCTTCCTTCACAACTGTGGACACTTGTTCACTCAGCTGTTAAGCTCATTTTGGTGCAAATATACACTGTTGTACGTCACACAMTGATGTATCATATCAATCAATTTTGGTAGAAAGTCTTATCGCCATTATTGGATAGTTTTCTATTATGATATCAATAATGATTTATTGTCCTGCACAAACAGGGATTGTGCTCTGTTGGGAACAGAAATGGTCCCCAGAAGTCTGAAAGCACMTACTGTGTTCAGTAAAACCACAAACTTCCTATTCTATAAGTTTCCTTCAGAATTATTATTTTATTTTACTGTTATTTATCCACTGAGATCACAGATCTTTTTCAAGGGTGACCTAGGCCTGAAGGCAACATATTGTACATGTTTTTGGGGTGTGGGGAAACTGGAGTACCTGGAGAAAACCCAGCCCACGCAAGAACAAGGAGAACATGAAAGTTCTGCACAGAAAGACCCCAGGTCCAAACCGGGGATCGAACCCAGGACCTTCTTGCTGTGACGTGTTGGTGCTAACCACTGAGCCGTCGTGCTGCAAAGAGATACCAAGGCTACCATGGCTCAGACAGCAGTATAAAGTRGTAATAATCAACTGCTTCCAAGCTCAACCTCTAGTCACAATATAAGTCATTTGTTTGATGAAACACATTTTGAGCCAAATCAATAAAACTAACTTAGGCCGGTTATTACATCGTATTACTACCAAATAAAAATGACCACTCAAATACTTGTAAAATTGAGGCATTGTGCTAGAATTAAATTGCCTACAGGGGTGTCTAGACAAAATTTATTATGTTATACACAATTAAACCATTTAATCCTATATCACTTGAACTCTCAGGTTACAGTACCTGTTCTGAACACAAGGTGTCACTAAAAAAATACGGTACCTGAAAACAGAAGGTACAGCTAAAAACGGTGTGTGTATAGTGTATATTATATATACATTATTTCTTTTCCTTTTCCTTTTTTTTTGGGGGGGGTGGGGGGGTAACCTGCTTACTAGATGCCTATTACACAAAGCTACGGGAGAACCTGTGATGTTGCAAAATTTCATACTTGTCTTCCCTCACACTAAGAGCTGGAATCTAATTTGTAATGCTATCTATTTAAATAATAAAACAGAAAAAAAGTTTGCATGTGGATGACAGGTGTATAAACTTATTTGCAAAATATTTGTCAGACTGGATGAAGSCATAGGTTTTTAAATTTGGATTTTGTAGTTTTTAACAGCAAACAATTTAATTGTCCTCAGTCTGAATTGTCAGAGAGTGTCAGTGATCCTGGCAGCTTGGTTAGTATTTTAATTTTTCTTCGCACCAGTTTTACATTCAGGTGATGCTGTTTTCATTAAGTTTGACATGGGGGTAGGTACGTATTTACTGACAGCTTTGGTTTGATCCACCATTTTCCTCACTGCAGTCATCCAAGAAACTAACATCCCTCAAACAAAGGACTTTAATGAGAATTTATTGGCTTTTACTACAAGTAGTGGTTTGCCATTTTCACAAAGGGAATTTTACTTATTTTGTATCATCGTTAGTACAAATTGTTAAAATAAAGGCAGTAAATTAGCTTGGTTACAGCACTCTTGTGTGCATATTTAGTTTTTTTTTTTGAGTACCTGTTAAATATTGGTTGGTCTTTATTTTATCTTGAAGTGGCAGATGTTATGCACTAAAGCAAACGGTGAAAAAAGCATTAAAGTAAATCTATATTTTAATCAGAACTTGTGTGCAAAACTAATTGTAAATGCATATTAATTATTTTGACAAATTGCCAACCTGACAAAAATCTAAAATTAGCCTGCAGAGGACAATATCACCATGGGAATAAATAAAATAAAATAAAAAGGGGGGGGGGGCGAGAGATGGACAAGCTTTGAGAAATAAAAAATAATACAAGTGCAAACAGTGATCTCATTATGGGTTAAACATTGCAACAACAAACCAGTGGGTTAGTAATGAGAGCGCAGGACGGCGGCGGGAGGAGGTGGTGCTCATGTGTGGGTGAGGGGAATGCTGAGAGATGGTGGATGAAAAACAGGTAGAGCAAAAACCCAAGCCAAAACTGCAGCAGTGACATGAGGGGTGGGCGTGTCATTAATAGGCTGACAAGTCAAACTGTACCTACCAGGATAAGGTTATTTTTCTACTGTCACCATTTAAACCTAGTGAGGAAAAATTTAAAAAGGTAGCTGACAAGATGCAAAAGTGACTGAAGATGAACAAACAATGAATAGAAAAATATATAAGCAGAATACAGAATGTCAAAGAGCTTTTAGCTCAGCAAAGCAGCAGCAAGTCATTTTAGTTTAGAACCGTCTCTTCCAGGGACTGGGCAACAAAGGGTGGTTTGGCAGAAACCAAGTATTTTCTTCTGTAAGTTTTGGCAAATCAATTTGCAAGTTTTTTGCCATTTCAAAAATGTATATATCAAAACATTCAGCTCCTTCAGAACCTTTCGGCTATGACTTCTGGTATTTCAGCAATTTATACTTGAGTTATATTTATCTTTTTCTGCCTTTTTCCCACTCACTGAAATGAATGGAGCCATTTGTAATATCCTTAAACCCTTCAAAATGTTCAGAAATCTTTGTGTTTTTTTACTTTTTCTTCTGGTTATTATTTTTTTCTTTTTTATACTTTGTCAACTTTAGTTTCCTTTAGCTACTATGATGATTTGAGCTTTTTTTATTTTTTGGCTTTTTAGCCTTCAGAATTTTTTGCCATGCAATTTCAACTTTTTCTGCCACTTAACTTTTTTTTGTTTGTTTTTTGCCTTCTGTCTGCCTGTTTTAGCTCTAAATATACTCAAAACAAAAAATTCAAAAATAGAAAAGCTAATTTTTACTTGAGCACAAGAAATATAATTTGTAAACTAGAACTGTCATTTTTAAACTAATTCAACTTTGCAAGGTACTACTGTATTATTCAACAGGTTCATTTTAACATGGCTTTAAATTTATTGAAAAGGGTGAAATAAAAACGTCAACTTGGGAGGTAAAATGTGGAAACTTCTAAAGTGTAATGAGATTTAGACTGGAGGTGGTGAAATGGTAATAGTACATTGAAATCCTGTCTGATTATTACAACTCTGCAGCTTGTGGATGGGATTCATTTTTGCCAAGTAAAAAAAAAAATTGTTGCTTCATTTCTCAGTTTGCTGGTCTTTGGTTTGAAGTGACTTGTTGCCTCAGCTGGTGTAGCTGCTGTTTTAGCTGATGTCGTGTCTTTAGGTGGTTAAAGACGTTTTGCTGCTATCAGACATGCAAACCTTTTCTGTGCAAACTAGAGTCTTCCTTATCTTATAAACAAGACTTCTGTTTAAAGATCAAATCATCCTTTTATTTTAGTTTGTTTTCAGTCAAATGTTCCTGCTCCACTTGAAAATACTAAAGCCCCAGCACTGATTGTAGTTCACTATGATTGGCTGATTGCTTCTCTGGGACAAACATCAAGCAGATGAGCAAACAGCACGGCTTTTATGGATCGTTAAGACCTCTGCTTTATATCTGATCTGGCTGCTGCTCTCTGCCCCGAAACTTTTTGCACAAATGCCTTGAACCAAGACAGTTTTGATCTCTTAAACCATTTTATCCCAAGTGAGCAAAGTGCTGTGCATCAGTCTGAGAGAACTGTGTGTACATTTTTTGCCATTTGCATCTAATTCACTGAGAATTTATTTTTGACCCACACTCCTAATGTCCCTCATATCAGATGGAACAATTCCCCAATTGAGAATTATTATGCACGCCCAATGGGGTTAGGAAGCAGTCGGACAGTATATTAACAGAAACAACTTGTTCTGCAAATGGAAAATAAAAATATGGCTCCTGTTTAGATTTTGTACGAACGACAAACTGTCAGCGATGTGTGAACAATCCGTATAAGACATTTTGTTTCACCACCTATGTCATCCACTGCAAACCAAAGAAAGTTTTAAAGCTTAAAATTTCCACAGGTTTAGAACCAGCCATGCAGCAAATTACTCARTATTTACATGATGTGTCTTTATCCTAACCACACTTTCTTATTGTGTACCCTGCTTTTTATTCTACTTGTTGTATGAACAAGTCCAAACAAAACTAGACCAGTTCGTGCACTTCAAGATTTATTTTTAAATTATGGTTCCTGTTCATCGGAGCGAGATCTGCAGCTCTCGCTGGAGCGGTTCGCGGCCGAGTGCGAAGCGGCCGGGATGAGGCTCAGTGCCTCCAAATC